TTTCGCTTATTGACGAAAAGAATAAAATTCTTTTTTAAAAGTATAAATTAGTAGAATTAAAAATGTGTTTATAAACGATTAGAAAACATTTCGCTTATTGACGAAAAGAATAAAATTGTTTATTAAAATTATAAATTAGTAGAATTAAAAATGTGTTTATAAACGGTCAGAAAACATTTCGCTTATTGACGAAAAGAATAAAATTGTTTATTAAAATTATAAATTAGTAGAATTAAAAATGTGTTTATAAACGATTAGAAAACATTTCGCTTATTGACGAAAAGAATAAAATTGTTTATTAAAATTATAAATTAGTAGAATTAAAAATGTGTTTATAAACGGTCAGAAAACATTTCGCTTATTGATGAAAAGAATAAAATTGTTTATTAAAATTATAAATTAGTAGAATTAAAAATGTGTTTATAAACGATTAGAAAACATTTCGCTTATTGATGAAAAGAATAAAATTGTTTATTAAAATTATAAATTAGTAGAATTAAAAATGTGTTTATAAACGATTAGAAAACATTTCGCTTATTGACGAAAAGAATAAAATTCTTTTTTAAAATTATAAATTAGTAGAATTAAAAATGTGTTTATAAACGATTAGAAAACATTTCGCTTATTGACGAAAAGAATAAAATTCTTTTTTAAAATTATAAATTAGTAAAATTAAAAATGTGTTTATAAACGATTAGAAAACATTTCGCTTATTGACGAAAAGAATAAAATTGTTTATTAAAATTATAAATTAGTAGAATTAAAAATGTGTTTATAAACGGTCAGAAAACATTTCGCTTATTGATGAAAAGAATAAAATTGTTTATTAAAATTATAAATTAGTAGAATTAAAAATGTGTTTATAAACGATTAGAAAACATTTCGCTTATTGACGAAAAGAATAAAATTGTTTATTAAAATTATAAATTAGTAGAATTAAAAATGTGTTTATAAACGGTCAGAAAACATTTCGCTTATTGATGAAAAGAATAAAATTGTTTATTAAAATTATAAATTAGTAGAATTAAAAATGTGTTTATAAACGATTAGAAAACATTTCGCTTATTGATGAAAAGAATAAAATTGTTTATTAAAATTATAAATTAGTAGAATTAAAAATGTGTTTATAAACGATTAGAAAACATTTCGCTTATTGACGAAAAGAATAAAATTGTTTATTAAAATTATAAATTAGTAGAATTAAAAATGTGTTTATAAACGGTCAGAAAACATTTCGCTTATTGATGAAAAGAATAAAATTGTTTATTAAAATTATAAATTAGTAGAATTAAAAATGTGTTTATAAACGATTAGAAAACATTTCGCTTATTGATGAAAAGAATAAAATTGTTTATTAAAATTATAAATTAGTAGAATTAAAAATGTGTTTATAAACGATTAGAAAACATTTCGCTTATTGACGAAAAGAATAAAATTCTTTTTTAAAATTATAAATTAGTAGAATTAAAAATGTGTTTATAAACGATTAGAAAACATTTCGCTTATTGACGAAAAGAATAAAATTGTTTATTAAAATTATAAATTAGTAGAATTAAAAATGTGTTTATAAACGATTAGAAAACATTTCGCTTATTGACGAAAAGAATAAAATTGTTTATTAAAATTATAAATTAGTAAAATTAAAAATGTGTTTATAAACGATTAGAAAACATTTCGCTTATTGACGAAAAGAATAAAATTGTTTATTAAAATTATAAATTAGTAGAATTAAAAATGTGTTTATAAACGGTCAGAAAACATTTCGCTTATTGACGAAAAGAATAAAATTGTTTATTAAAATTATAAATTAGTAGAATTAAAAATGTGTTTATAAACGGTCAGAAAACATTTCGCTTATTGACGAAAAGAATAAAATTGTTTTTTGAAATTATAAATTAGTAGAATTAAAAATGTGTTTATAAACGATTAGAAAACATTTCACTTATTGACGAAAAGAATAAAATTCTTTTTTAAAATTATAAATTAGTAAAATTAAAAATGTGTTTATAAACGATTAGAAAACATTTCGCTTATTGACGAAAAGAATAAAATTGTTTATTAAAATTATAAATTAGTAGAATTAAAAATGTGTTTATAAACGGTCAGAAAACATTTCGCTTATTGACGAAAAGAATAAAATTGTTTATTAAAATTATAAATTAGTAGAATTAAAAATGTGTTTATAAACGGTCAGAAAACATTTCGCTTATTGACGAAAAGAATAAAATTGTTTATTAAAATTATAAATTAGTAGAATTAAAAATGTGTTTATAAACGATTAGAAAACATTTCGCTTATTGACGAAAAGAATAAAATTGTTTATTAAAATTATAAATTAGTAGAATTAAAAATGTGTTTATAAACGGTCAGAAAACATTTCGCTTATTGATGAAAAGAATAAAATTGTTTATTAAAATTATAAATTAGTAGAATTAAAAATGTGTTTATAAACGATTAGAAAACATTTCGCTTATTGATGAAAAGAATAAAATTGTTTATTAAAATTATAAATTAGTAGAATTAAAAATGTGTTTATAAACGATTAGAAAACATTTCGCTTATTGACGAAAAGAATAAAATTCTTTTTTAAAATTATAAATTAGTAGAATTAAAAATGTGTTTATAAACGATTAGAAAACATTTCGCTTATTGACGAAAAGAATAAAATTGTTTATTAAAATTATAAATTAGTAGAATTAAAAATGTGTTTATAAACGATTAGAAAACATTTCGCTTATTGACGAAAAGAATAAAATTGTTTATTAAAATTATAAATTAGTAGAATTAAAAATGTGTTTATAAACGGTCAGAAAACATTTCGCTTATTGATGAAAAGAATAAAATTGTTTATTAAAATTATAAATTAGTAGAATTAAAAATGTGTTTATAAACGATTAGAAAACATTTCGCTTATTGACGAAAAGAATAAAATTCTTTTTTAAAATTATAAATTAGTAGAATTAAAAATGTGTTTATAAACGATTAGAAAACATTTCGCTTATTGACGAAAAGAATAAAATTGTTTATTAAAATTATAAATTAGTAGAATTAAAAATGTGTTTATAAACGATTAGAAAACATTTCGCTTATTGACGAAAAGAATAAAATTGTTTATTAAAATTATAAATTAGTAGAATTAAAAATGTGTTTATAAACGGTCAGAAAACATTTCGCTTATTGACGAAAAGAATAAAATTGTTTATTAAAATTATGAATTAGTAGAATTAAAAATGTGTTTATAAACGGTCAGAAAACATTTCGCTTATTGACGAAAAGAATAAAATTGTTTATTAAAATTATAAATTAGTAGAATTAAAAATGTGTTTATAAACGGTCAGAAAACATTTCGAGTTATTGACGAAAAGTCATTTTATTTTATTAAGGTATTTTCGAAAAAATCGATAAATGGATAAAAGTTTTCTATCAGTTTATAAACAAATTTTTAATTTTACAAATCTAGATTTTTAAAAATATGATTATTTATTTTTCCCATTATGTTCAATTGGAGTTTGTCCATTTTCTTCCATTTTTTATTTGCCTTATCAATATTATAGTTTCGCACAAAATCGTAGAAAACTTTTTATAATTTTATAAGCACAATAATTTATAATCTCTAAGGTCGATTTCTCAAGCAACATTAGACCTCTGACCCTTTCTGTGCCCAATTAATAAATTTTAATAACGCAATCCAAGTATTGCGTAGGCTGGGTCGCTGCGAAGGGCCGGTGCTATTCCAAATAGACCTCGGCGAAGACACTCCAACATATTACGGAAAACTTGGGTTTCCAACATATTACGGAAAAACTTGGGGTCCTCGTCCGCCATATTCATCAGACCTGGCCCCATCCGATTATCACTTATTTCAATCTTTAAAAATTTGCGTGGGAGAAATTTCGAGAATGCCAAGGATGTCGAAAATGCCATTGGTCAGTATTTCACTATCAAACTGACTACTGGCTTTTTCGAATACGGTATTTGAAAACTCCGTCATTGTTGGAACACTGTTATTGATCTCCATGGTGATTATCTCATTGATTGATATTTTTGATTATATTTTTACTATTTTAATTTTGAGTAAAATAACGGGTAATTATGATCGCACCGAATAAAATGTCAAAAATATTAGTTTCTAATTTTTGTCGTCGTTTCCGTTTAATCCATTTAAATGCGCCTGTTTATGTGCCGTTAATTGTTTTTCACTAAAAAATATTTAGGTATTAAAATAAATTTATTTGGAAAATCTCGTTTATTTTCTTGAGAATATTTAGTCCCTATAAAGGGTCTAATCTTTTTTCCTTCATTTTTCCTTTCCATATTTTCACGTCTTAATGACTTCAATTCCCCTCCATTTTCAAACTCAGTGTGTGGTGAAGCGGTCAATCCCTCCAAAAAAATTGGATGTAACTTAATCCTAGGGTCTCAATGTAAAGGTTATTAACACCCTTCCCACTATCACTGATCGCGTTTTTTTTGCTTTATTTGCTAGGCTAGGAGGAAATTTTCTCGACTTTACGTTGTTAAAGTAAATCGGGAATGTATTTTTTTGAAGTGTAGTGGGTTAATTTATTTTTAAATTCTTATGTAAGAGTATAAATAACTTATAAATTTAATTTTTAGTCCCAGAGAAGGATTATATTTTAAATAATTTTTTTGATAAGCAACTTACTCTGAAAATTGAGAATCACAAATTTTACATTTAAGGTGTTTGTCAATAATTGAGTAACGTTTCCTTTTGAATTTTAGTTTTTCGTTTGCAATTGTTTGGTTGTTTTTAGTTGTTTGTCTTTGATGTTCTAATAATTTTTTAAATTTTCTCTTTGGATATTTTTTAATTAAAATTGGTTTGGATATCTGACAAAACTTGGATTTTCTTGTAATGAGAAGCAGGGTTGCCGGATCCTCGGAAATCCCCGGATATATGGATCCCCCAAGTCGATTGTCCAGATAACTTTCATCTGGAGCCGAGTTTTCGGCTTCATACAAGCATTTTATGCTGGGGATCAATAAATTTTTAGAATCACAATCTCCCAATTATTAATTAACCGACTCGTTTTGATTGCAAATTCAGAACTGTTTTCAGACAAATTTTGTTGATCTTGTGATGTGATCCCTTTATTATTATTATCATTATTCAAATATTCACTGGAGGAAAGTAAATTTTTATTGGTGTATTCCTCGCTGCTATCCTTCTATAAATATCTTTTAATTATAAAATAATTTTTAAAAGAAAATACAATTTTTTGTTGTTCTTTCCCAGTCAATTCATCCTTCTCGTTTAACTCATTTAAATGAAATTGTTTAACATGTTCTTCAAATAAAGAGTATTCTTCTAATTTTATTTCACAAGAAAGACATTCAAAACTTTGATTTTGAATGGCATGAATAAATAAATGCTCCTTTAAAAAATTTTTTTATTCTTCAAATATTCACTAGAGGGAAGACCTTTTTATAAAATTTCCCCTATTATGGATGGGTCGGATTACTCGAAACCCCGATAACCGATCTTTTTTGCGATCCAAAATCCGATACGACTTTTTTCTCACCCCAATCATTCCCTGCCTTTAATACTAACTAGATACACCCTCTATTTAACATAAAGCTCTTCATAAGCGACTATCTTTCAGCCTTAAGGGGGTATCTCATAGTGAAGTCTATCTATTTAGAAAAATATTTAGTTTCCTTCTAACCGTTAATAAAGACCGTTCAGTAAACAATTTTAAACAAAATAAACATCTAAATATTGCTTGAGTATGGTAAATAAATAGATGTTCTTTAATTGACCAAATATCAAAGAAAATTTTAGTTGGTTTACATTTTTCACATTTCCAGGTTGTTTTTGTGTTGATTAAATGTTCAATTAAATGCTCTTTTAAATTCTGAAAATTAAAAATAAATCATATAAATCCAGTCAGACCTCATTATAGGTTACACCTCTGGGTTGAAAAATTGTCTCTTATAATGAGGCGTATATTAAATAGTGGGTATTTCTTTAGTAGCACTCTCCACTCAGTAGCCAACCAATTTTTAAAAAACGTCTATTAAATAGAGGTGTCGGTAATATTCAATTTCGTTCCCCCCTCCTTTTTTATTCCTCAAAATATTAAAAAATGGTAAGTTATAGAATTTTAAGTTATAGAACTCGTCGAGCTGTGTCGAATGACACCAAAATCAAAAAAATCAGACTTTATTTGACCGAGATGCAGACCCCTGAAAATTGAACAACCATAGGGGCAAAAAACCATAGGTACCAAATTTTATACAAATAATAGCTCATTCGAAAGAGCTCGTCGAGCTGAGTCGTTGACACCAAAATCAACGTGATTGGACTAGATTTAACAAAGTTATGACATAAGTCGCCGACTCCGTTAGGTCTACTTCATGTCATAACTTTGTCAAATCAAGTCGGATTTCGTTGATTTTGGTATCATTCGACACAGCTCGACGAGTTCTTTCGAATGAGCTATTATTTTGATAAAATTTTTTTATTCCAAAAAATCACCCCTATGGTTGTTTAATTTTCAGGGGTCTCGGTCAAATTAAGTCTGATTTTTTTGATTTAGGTGGCATTCGACACAGCTCGACGAGTTCTATAACTTAAGATTGACTGACCATTTTTTAATACTTTGAGGAATGAAAAAGGAGGGGGGAACGAAATTGAATATTACCGAGGTGTCTAGTATTGGATGTATCTTATAGAAAAGACAGCTTATAATGAAGTGTGTCTTAAATAGAGGGTATCTCTTAGAAAGCTCTCCCACCCTGTGGCCATTCAAATTAAAAAAAAAGTCTCTTAAATAGAGGTGTGTCTAATATTGAGGGCATTTTATAAAGAGGTTTGACTGTATATTTATATTCATACATTTGTTTTTAATCCACAAATTGGACAAGAATTATTTCCACATTTTTGTTCTTCATTTAATTCTTTTATTAAATGAACACTTTTCATATGTTCTAAAAATTAATTTTAATTTTTTAAATTTATTTATTTACTTATAAATTCAACAAAATTATTTAATTCAGAATTGCATTGTTGGCAAACAAAAGAGGAAGAAGAGGAACTTGTTTTATAGTTATCTTCCAATTTGGGTGAATTTTCTGTTGTTTCTAATTTTATAGAAAAAAGTTGTTCGTTATTGGAGCTACTGTTTTCCATTATTCAAAAATAATTAGAATATGAACTAGATATCCTTAAGAACTAGATATTGGACCGAGAAAAGATTCGAGATATCTCGTACAATCCTCCCAGTCCCTTAAAAACATTCAAGTACAGTGTAAACTTGATTATAATTGAGGGCTAAAAACGTATCTTAAATACATATAGCTTGGGCAGTAAAGTTGTAGGAAACTATCTTTTTTTCCAACTATCTTTTAGGCAGTAAAGATAGTTGGAGATCTTCGGATATCCGGCCTTTTTTCGGATCTGGATCAGACAACCTTATTGGGAATCTCCAACTCATTGGCTAGTCAAATGAGAGAACGTCTCTTAAATAGAGGTTTTGGATTTATCTTATTTTTAAGTCTGACTGGCAAAAAACAAAAATTATTTTCAAATTTTGATCACAATGTTTTAATGAAATGAGGCTTTTTTTAATGAAAATTGCCTGACAAACTATAGAAAAGCACAAACATATACACTCATCTGAATAGAGGGAATGCTTTTTACATTTTTTAATTCTTTAGGGAATTAAATATATCCATAAAAACAGAATTTGCCCCCAAAACGTTCTATAAACTCCCAAAGGAATTTCTGTAATGGCTGTTGTTGTATTTAAATAGTTTTTCTTTATCCAAAATTTTTAGAAAAATTTATTTTATAAAAATTTTATTTAGAAAATTAAAAAAATTTTTTTAACATAGCAAAAAATGCAAGAAAACGAGTAAAAAGAGCGGAATCTCTTTACGGACACGTAGACCGTCAACTGGGCATTTACCCCCGAACTCCTTGGTAAAATATTCCCTGAACATCCACGTCCATTTCCTAAACATTCCCGTTGAAAAGGAAGAATCCTAGCCTTCCTAAAATTTTCGTTTGAAAATACTGAAACATTGATAAGCTATAACTCGATTTGGGGGTCGGAGCCAGAAAAGCCAAAGATTGGCAATTGTTTATCGACCATGCTCTATACGATGGTTTAAGTTTGATTTGAAAATTTTTACAGTTCGAAATATCCCTTGGCTTATGTTAGCCATTTAAAATTGTTTTTTTATTTTCTAAACAAAAAAATATTTCTCCCTATTCAAAAATTATTTTTTAAAATTCATCTATTTTTTAAATATAAAAATCTTTTAAAATTTTTATCTTTAAAAATAAATAGCAATAAAAGTTGTGGAGAAATTCTAAAATAAGTTTTGGATTTTTTAAAATTGTGCAAGTAAATGTCCGGGCATTTTTAAAAAATATATATATTTATTTTTAGCAATTAATTTGGCAAATTTTGGCAAAAAAAGGCCCAAAAATTAAATATATATATTTTTTCCGTAAAATGGGAGTAAAGAAAAGTATGTGTGTAGTAGAGGAAAATATTTTTTAAAATAATTTAAACGAGTGAATTAAAATAGAATATATGTCCATAAACGAGAATCAATCCAAAAAAAGAGAAGCAAATCCTTGTAATAATTGTGTTGTAGGGCACCTATTTTTTTCTTCCCTTCAATTCCTAGCATTTCCCTTTTCTTTTTGAGGCAATATCAAGAAGATTAAGTATATAGGAAAGTTTGAATGGAAGAAAATAAAATTTAATAACTCGTCAGACGGGACATACCAGGCCCGTAGCCAGGATTTTTTTCGGGGGGGGGGGGGGGATTTTTGCGCCAAATTTTTGGCGCCGAAGGCGCCAAAAATTTTTATTTTCAGCGCCGCAGGCGAAAATTTTTTGAATTTTAGAAGGCCGTAGGCCAAAAAAATTCACTTTTTTTGCCCCAGCCCTTCCCCAAATTTTTTCCTTTTTCCCATTTCGGGGGGGGGGGGGGGGGGAATTCCCCCCTGGCTACGGGCCTGGGACATACTGATTAGGGCAGGCATCAAGGGGCGAATCCAGTGGTAGGATTCTGAAGATTTTTCCCAATTTCAGGGGGAGAGGGTGAGCCTCTGCTAACAAGGAAAGGTTGCGAGGTGTCCGACCTAAAAACGGTCGAAACCGGGCTCATTCGATAGAGAATGTGCCCTTTCTAGCAAGAATTTTGTGCCGTTTTTTGATCTGGCCAAGCAAGATATGGCCCTGCAAAGTGAACATTCGGTTCAATACCTTTACACCCTCTGAGTTTCCCAACGGAATCGTAAACTCTCAACCAAATACCTCAGGCAAAATAAAGGGAATAAAGAAAGGAAAATATAGGAATCGAAAGGAAACAAAAAATGGGAGCCCACAAACACAATTAATACCCAAAGCAGTTCAATAGCGACGACGACGTTTCTTGCTTTTCTTTGTCGAACCATTAGTAAGCGAAGCAGCAGATTTCGAAGTTGATGGAGTGTCCGTAGCATCCTTTTAAAAATTAAAAGAAATTTACTAAATCTAAAAGAATTACTTGACTCTTTCGTTTGCCCCCTTTTTTGTCTGGCAAAGGATTCAAAGCATCATATTCCTTAATTGCTTTAAGATGACCAACACCACTTTTTGGCTCCCAAGAATTACTAGAAAATTAAAATTTTTTAAACTAAAAATTTTTTTAAAAATTAACCGATCATCGTCATAGCCTTCCCATTTAATAAAATATTCAATTTCTCCATCTCTTCCAATTTTTCGATCCAAAACCTTCTCGGCAATATATTCCTTATCATCATCGCTTTCATCTTCTTCTCCCTCATTATTTTTTAATTTTTCTTCATACTTCTTAAAAACATCCAAATGAGCAATCCCTTTTCGAGGCTCCCAAGAATCTAATTAAAAAAAATAATTTTTAGGCTCTTATCGAGTTTATGCGTCCCAAGAAAATTCATTTCATCTGACATGAACAAAATGTTCAAAAATCGAAGACCGAAAATATTTTTAAATTCTTTGAAAAACTCAAAAATTTAAGTCAAACCAAGCCCAATCACTTTATTTGAATTTTATCTGGTATTCAAAATTGAGCAAGTCTTTAAAAATTTTCGGATCTGAAGTGAGAACATATGTTAGTTTAAACCCGATTTCAAAAACCAAACAAAATCCAAGGCCCTATCGCAAATGAGGTGCGTAATCATATTTTTTCTCCTTCCTTCCTCAAGTTAAAAATGGGGAACTTTTTCCTTAGTTATTAATGTTGCTGATTTCGCCGTAAGGAAAAATGATGCATGAGGATTAATTTTTTACATTTTGTTTTTTGTTCATGTTTTGACTGAGCGTGTTTTCACAGTCAAAACAGGGACAATTTTGACTGAAAAACAGTCAAAACACGACTGAAACTGAATGAAAAACCTGAAACTGACTGAAAAACCGTTTTGACTGAAAAACAGTCAAAACACGGACAGTTTTGAGACACGGTCAGTCAAAACACGGGTAGAAAAGAAAATGAAAAACATTAATCCTCTTACATTATTTCTCCTTACTAAGGAAAAATACTAAGGAAAAAG